CTGCTGTGTTTACAAGTTACATCGAGTTCCATTGGCTCCGCTTCTGATGGCTACAATTCTTAATAAGGAGCACATCTGAACATGACTCTACCTGAGTCTGGTTCTAAGCTAATAGCACTGCAGGGCCACTGGGAGGTGAGTATGAGCAAGCCTTCATCTGCACTAAGACTGTGTTAATAAAAGAGCTTTAACCCTGGTATTCTTCCAGTTCCTTGTCTGGAATGGACCTTGCTGATGTATTGTAACTACCTTTTGTGTTGTTGCTGTTGCTTAAAGCCTCCGAGTGAACTGTTTATGTTTCGGTAAATGAGTGTATCTCAACGCGCACGTCAAAATAAAGATCTGTTTTGTGTCGTTGGTGAATCATACACATGACAGTGATCCCACAAAATCTCTGGCTCTGTGCAAGTGTGAAGCATGCTGGTGATGGTGTGAAGGCAGAGAGATGTTCTGGAAATGGACTTTGAATAAGAAATTAAATCGTTTTTTTAAAAATTGCCTAGAACGTTTAAAGTAAGTGGAAGAACAAGACATCAGTAGTTGAAAAGCTGAACGTTTTTCGCAGGTTTTATTTTATTAATTTATTTATTTATTGCCTACTTCAGATCTCGGTTCTGTTCACCGTTCACCGTGTCCTGACGCTGGTTAATAACACGATCAGATCCAGTCGGTAATTGCATCACACTCAGAATAATAACTTGATGGCAGCCCTTACTGACAGAGAATGGAGTACAGACACTCAAGCCTGAACACGCAACGCTTGTTGCTACGTTTACCTGTGAACCTAAACGCACCACTACTTGTTTACAAACAAACAACGACGAAAAAACAGGGAGTCGAGCAGTAAAATACGACCATACAACACTGCAAATAGCATTTTCTTTTTCTTCACAGCTCCAGTAAACCTACACGAAGTTGAACTTTTCCACACTGTCAGCCTGGTTTTACCTGCTGCCGTGTCGGAGTCTCTGCTGCTCTCTGCTCAGATCCGACGATCGCAGCACTTTCCGTCTTTAAAAACTTTTCTCTGCCGCTGGTTTTATCTTTGCTTCAAGGCTTAGGTCACATCCTGCAGTTTTATTCCACATCGCTACGGCGACCGTGATCCTCTGTCAGGCTTCTCCTCCTCCTCCTTCTCGCTACAGCGGACCAGGACTCTCTCAGTCCAACGGCTGTCGATGGGAGTCGGTTTGCAGGTGTTGCCAGAGTCGGTAACGCCTCCCCCTCTGCCTCCCAGAGCTGCTGTACACAACTTAATTCTCCCAATCACGAACAAAATGGAGCAGGGGCGTAATCATAAGTTTAGGTGTGACTTACCTGAAGGGAAAAGGCATGGCTTCCAGATAACTATTAAATAAAAGATGTTCTTCATGTTGTTGCATACTTTACGTGTTACTGTTTGTTATTTTTAAAAGGAAAACCAAGAGGTGGGTGCTCTTGCCTTACAGCATTGGTTCTCAAAGAGAGGGGCCAGGCCTCTCTAGTGAGCCTTTGTTTTGTTAAGTTGTGACAGGAGGGTGCAACAACAGCCTCTCTACAAAAGGGAAACACTGCGGAGGAGGTTTGGGGACCAGCGTCTTACAGTAAGAACAACACAGATTTGATCCCAGTTGGTAACAAATGGTCCTCCTAAAGGGACAGTCCATCTTTTTCCCATTTGTTTTCTCTGGGTAACCTACTCTAGTTTCCTCCCAGTAACCAAACGTCACGCAGCATTAGGTCAATGACTTACTTTAAACTGTCCAGAAGTGTGTATTTGAGTGTGATTGGTTGTTTATCTTTATATGTAGTTCTGTGGTGGACCTAAGAACTGTTTTGGGTGTATCTGGCCCTCGTCCATCAGGAGAAGATGAAGGGAAAACACAATAAGAAATTCTTAGTACTACCCATCATTTACTAATCAGTAATTTTTGTGCGCTCAATAAAGAGAAAGAGTGAAGAGATTTTTTTAAAAAATAATAAAGAGAAAGAGTGAAGAGATTTTTAAAAAAAAAAAAAGTATACATATTTGTATTTGTTAGCAGTTTTATAAAAAAAAACAGAGCTTACTTTTATAATACATGAAAAAAAAAACCATTTACTCAGAGCTTACTTTTATAATATATGCTGAATAAATGTCCACTGACACCTAACATGCACTTACATATACGATATTTCTTAATATTTTGAATTATCCCAGTTAGGTAATGCAACGTATAACTTCACTCCCTTTACCTGCTGTTTACAATATATTACATGTGTAGACCCCAGTTAGACTATAACTACCAAACGAAACAGAACACGGGGACATGATATAAACCTGGTGTCAAAGAGAAACCCTTCACATTCTCTCTTCCAGATCTGCATCCCCTAACATTAAGTTTAGTAACATTGAAAAGAAAACGGTGACATAGAATCATAAATGTTTTATCGCCAAAAGAAATGTATCCCGACGCCGTCGCCGTGCTTAATTTGAGAGACATATTGGACCCGAACCCATTGACCCTACCACAGTTTAAGACACATCAGACAATAGTACCATCTGCTGGAGAAAGTATAACAACACGTTTAAGACGGAACCCCTGCATGACTTTCAGAAAATCTTGTGTATTAATCGATGTAAAAAGAAGTACGTGTACACATACGGATACAGGTCACAATTGTGGAAAAAGGACAGATGATTATTATTTTATTTTTAAACTAATTAATGCGCTGCGGAACGAAAAACTCAGAGGGGGAAGTTTAGTAGAGGATGCACGTCTTTGTCGAACGTAAGATCCGCGCACGCGCAATTGTATACTTATGCCAATGGAGTTCTCGAGATAAATACGTCGGGATTTTTGAGAAAAAAATTCAATGTATTTTCTTGATTTTTATAAATGATATTGTTTTCATCATTCTACGGACAGTATTTTTTTCCTGTTGACATTTCCAGTCTGTAAGCTTGCGGAACTAGCGGACAGTTAGCATGCTAACAAATATTTATCATTTTAAATATTATAACGTTGTGTCGAGTACATTTAGCAATATATTTGAGCCCTTGGTGTATTTTTTATATTAGAATATAACATTATAACCTTATCCGACGCTTATTCACGCTGTTGTTTTTATAAAACGTTACAAATGACTGTGTATTATTTCCATAAACTGACTGGATTTTGAGGCGGACAGTGTCAACAGTTTATTCTTGGGGTGGCCGTTAGGGGACAATCCAAAAGATGGACATCACCACCGTGTCAGCCTCCAATGGGCCAGAATGTTCCCTGGTTTCAGACGACATGGAGGGTATTTGTGTAATGCCGGACTTAACTACCATCAAGACTGAGGTGACAAACCCAGATGAAGCCAGCACCCAAAATGTAGCCATGGGCATTAAGTTCATTTTGCCCAACCGCTTTGATATGAATGTTTGCTCGAGATTTGTCAAGTCGCTCAATGAGGAAGACAGCAAAAACATCCAGGACCAGGTGAACTCTGACCTGGAGGTTGCATCTGTCTTATTTAAAGGTAAGGAACCAAGACGTCCTCTTTGTTTGTTTTCATTCTCCGTAAATGAGCCGTCACTTTGTGCCTTGATGTTTGGTGTACAAATGTTACTTTTTTTTTTTGCAGCCGAGTGTAACATCCAGACTTCACCGTCTCCAGGAATACAAGTGCGCCATGTTTACACACCGTCCACCACCAAACATTTCTCCCCCATCAAACAGTCTACAACACTGACCAATAAACATCGTGGCAACGAGGTTTCTTCAACACCTCTTCTGGTACACTGTAAGTCACATCATAGAGGAGAAATATTAAGTTTCATCCAGTATTTAACCGTCTGTTTGTCATTGTCCATTCAACCAGTCAACTCACAGCCTTCCATTGCTGCTTTACTATACATGTTGATCTGTCTTTGCCAGCAGTGTAAATTCTTAATACACTTGAATATTTCCAGCTCTGTCAGTGCATCAGTTGGCAGCTCAAGGAGAGATGGTTTTCCTGGCGAGCAGGATCGAACAAGGTACAGTACAGTTCAAACTACACAACAAATATCCTGTTTTTTCTTCTACCTCTGAAATACAGTTTTACTGTCAAACTACACAACAAATATCCTGTTTTACAGTTTTACCATTATGTTTATTAATGGATCAACATTTCTGAATGGTGCTTATATTCAATTTCTGCCTTTTTTATCTGAACAGAATCTGTGATCAACCTCCAAGATGAGGAGGGCTTCACTCCCCTGATGTGGGCAGCTGCTCACGGACAGATTGCTGTTGTGGAGTTCCTGCTCCAGAATGTATGAACAAATGTATTTTAGCGCAGTATTTTCAATGAAATGGTTTGATAACATCAGAATTTGTACTTTGTGGTGATTATTGGCTGTCACTGGTTTTGTGGTTTACAGGGTGCAGACCCTAACCTCTTGGCCAAAGGGAGAGAGAGTGCACTGTCGCTGGCCTGCAGTAAAGGCTACACTGATATAGTGAAGATGCTCATCGACTGTGGCGTTGATGTGAATGAATATGACTGGGTAGGAATACTAAACTTCTTCAGACGTGTTTGGTGTTTGGTTGAATGCACACTTTAGACCCAGTGGCCCATGGTGCTGTTTGCTCTCTGTGTTTCAGAATGGAGGAGCCCCTCTGTTGTACGCTGTTCATGGAAACCATGTGCGCTGTGTTGAAATCTTGTTGGGTGAGGAGAACGTTTTGTACTAAAAGTGCTACAAACATGTGACTTCCATTCAAAGATTAACACAGCTTTCACTCCAGCACAAATGCTTTGCACAGTGAATAATATGTGAAGTTATTTTGTTGTACAGAAAGTGGTGCTGATCCGACCATAGAGTCAGATTCGGGATTTAATGCAATGGACATGGCCGTAGCTATGGGACACCGGAATGGTACGTGATGGCAAACGATAATCTGATCCTTATATTGGTCACGTGTGGACGAAGTTTTTATAAAAAGTGTATTTGATGCTTATAGTTCAGTGGTGAGATATTTTACTAAAGGTAAAGTGTCAAGACTTATACAGTAGATGACAACAAACATAAACAAATGTAGGGTTTATTATTATGATTTTATATTTTTTATGTATTATTTTGTAAACCTTGTACATGTACATTGAGATTGGAGTTAAATAAAAAACTTCAGATAGAAAACAAAATAGCATCAAAGTTAGTACCATGACCACGATTAATTGTGATTAATCCATAACTATACCGTATTTATTCAGAGTGAACCCAAATACATTTATATATATGTGGTTTCAATCTGATGTGTATTCAGTCTCACTTAAAGCCTTTGTTCTTTCTCTGCTCAGTCCAACAGGTGATGGAGGCCCATTTACTGAAGCTGCTGATGGGAATCAGAGAGTGAAGGGAGACACTCCATGGTACTGTGTATCAGCATGTGCCAGGCTGCTAGTCAACAGGAAGTGATGCAACACAACTGCTTTACTCCATTGTTTGTTTTAGTCATAGTGTACATTACATACATATTTGTGCTGTAGTGTTTTTTTTTTTAATGCAGACCTTTTTTAAAAGCCTTGGTCTCATCGGTATCCCAGCATGCACCACGAGGGTGCTATCAAACTAGCAAGGGTTTTATTTGTTGTTAGATAAAGTTTCATTTCTGACAGTAATATCCAATGTACAGATTTCTGCTCAGAATTCATTACTACTGCATTAACATTTATTATGTTTTGGTTAGTGAAAGAAATCTATTGTGGAATAAGACTGTTTCTGTGGTTTACTGTGTGGTTGATTAGAAAAGTCCCTGCTTTGAAGAGACTTTTCTATAAAGCTCCTCTTGATCCATGTGTTGACTCTGAAGGTCCTGCATGCTTTCATTTGAACTGACTGTATTTGCTCTATTTATTGAATTCGTTGTGACATTTGTGGTGTGATGTGATGATGTTCATGTTCATTTTTTCTCTGTGAAGTTAAACTTAAGTCCTATGGGTTTGGTTTTTTTTAACCTGCCACCTCATCATAATGCCCCCTGAGGTGTCTGTGGTGCTCTAGGCCACTGTGTGACAGTGCTAGAAAAAAGAAAATTGGTGTCAACTGTTGCTCTATCACAAAATTATATTCATTTGAATGTAAGGTGTGGATGGCGTATGTTATTTAATTTTTATTTTATTTAAAATGTGAACATGTCTGGGAGACAGTTCAATGTTTTCATTCTGTTTTAGAATATCACAGCAAAAACAATTAATACAATTTAAGTTTTAGACAATACACTTTTGGATGTACAACATATTACATCTATTCAATAAATAAATGCTTTGTTTTTTATAAGAAGTTGAAAGTTTCCTTATTTTTTTTCATTCAGCATTGTTGTAGAAACTGTTGTCAGTGAAAAGTTTTGGCCTTAGGATTTAGGTTGAACGTAGTATTGATAATGCTGAATCAGTGAAGTATTGAATAAATGCAATAATTTAAATTTAATTGATGGGTCAAATCGTCGGTGCGTGCGTCACGTACACAGCGACACCCAGTATCCTTGCGTGTATCGGTTTAAAAAAGTGGAATCGCCAGTGTTTGAGCTGGAGTGCCTGCAATGACTTTTAAAATCCAGCAGAGGTCAGTATTACATGCTACACCAGGGGTGTCCACACTTTTGATTGGCATGTATTTTTCAAATGATCCGTCTAAAAGAAATTTACATTAAAAACTTCAAATATATATATTTACTCATATGAACCGGTTTATATATATGTTGCGGTGTTTTGATTAAATGGCTATAGTTGTATGGATACATTATGACTAAAGACATATGGTCATACTCTAGCCTTTGTGATCAGCATCTAGAAAGAGAAATGATTTATTTTATTTAAATGCTCATGATTAAACACTGGTTGGACACCCTTCTGTTACCCCATGCTAGCCTGTATAAAAAATGTGGCCATCACCTGTTTTACCATCTTTAATAAATTGTATGAGGAAATGATCAAGTGAAAACTAACTAAAAAAAAACAAAACACAATGTTGTCCATTTACTGACAGTAGCAAAGGTTTATTCCAGATAAGGTGGTTAAGTGAGGCCACAAGGAGGTAAGGTTCAGTAACATGGAGGAAACAGATGAACAACAGGAGCCTGGAAACACCACATTTTATACACAATCTCTCACTAACTGGACCACAGAGCACAACAAGCATTTGGAGCCTGGTGGCAAAGAGGAGGTGGAATGGAGACTAAAATACCTCGAGTTGTAATACTGCTACCCTAGTTTTCAATACTTTAAAGTACAATTCAAAAAAATACTCCAAAATAAATCATTCAAAGCAATCCAAACTTTAGGAGTGTGTGAATTGTTGTGATCAGGTGTTGCACATCACAGAACGCTCACAGCAGACGTTGGACAGATCATACATCTTCTCAGGTACTTTACCAACATCCCACCTCTTAGAGATATTAAAACATTGTGTCCACATGGTCCTGTCAAGTTTTGTCACTCCGGGGAGTCACATTCCCTCTAGTTAGCTTCATCCTTGGATGCTTCGTCAAAGTTCTCCACAAGATCTGAAATAAACGATCAAAGATTCAGCAACAAATTGACTGGGTGAAAGAGAAGGAGAAACATCTGAACATATGGCTCAAGAGGTGGTAGAGAACAATTGAGCCGAGCTGCATTTTAGTGGAACATGACACTTCAGTGTGTTCAGTGGATAGATTCATCTAAAACCATGGCTACAGACAACTAACACCTACATGAATAAGTCTGGTCTGATGGAACCAAATGCACTCTTTTATGACCTACACCACGAAGTACAAAGCCATCCTGGCCTAATTAGTTTTACATAAGGAACAAATATGTGATGTATTTAAAAACAAAAACAACAACTAATTTTTCCTTTAATGGCAGCATTGTCTGCCCAGCATCTAAGAGTGTGTTGTGCAGTGTGACCACTCTCACCTGGAACATCATCGTCTTCCTCCTCTACTGCTGCAATTGGTGCCTTTCCATCTGCAGCTTTAGAATAAAAAAAATGCAAAGACAAAAATGAGCAACTGCTGAACAAACTAAGTTCTAACACAAATTCAAATGAGACAAACAGGTGGATCGCCACTGCTTGACTAATAAAAGCTAGCCTGTGTCAGAATCACGTACGTCATGAACCACAGCCACACTTAAATACAGTAGATCAAATATTTCACCAAAATCATTTAAATCATCTGCATGCGTTTGTCTAATCTGGGTCACTGACCCTGTTTGGGCAGAGCCTCGGCGAGTCTCCTGAGGCTCGTCAGGCTGTCGGCTCCAAGCTGGTTCAGGATGCCTGGCAGCATCTCGGTCAGCTGCTTGGTCTCAGCGTGGCCAGTGATAGTGAAGGTGTTTGCTGCAAGGGAGGCCTGCACTTTGGGGTTGTTGAAGTGGATGACCGTTCCTTGATTTGTAAACATGTTAACCTGCAGCAAATGAAAGAGACATCAGTAACTCACATTATTGTATTAAAAAAAAATTCTTGACAAATTTCTTGAAAAAACAAAAACAGCATACCTCTTCAATACCAGAGATGTTGTTAACACCAAGTTTCTTTAAGGAGAACTGGAGTTTTTTGTCATCTGCGGTTGCTGTTCTGTGAACAACCTTCTTCTTTCTGCGAGCACTGCCCTGTTGGGACATTTGAGGAGATTCATTTAATTTTAAGTATAAAAAAGTACTAGTTTTTAAATATGCATCAATGCATGCAATTTTAACCTGAGACAAATATATATTTCAAAACTGCATGTGGTGATAAAAATGAATATTTTTCTTGCCTTTCCGCCGATACGGACTTGCGCCTGTAGTTTAGCAAGTTTTTCTTGATTCATAATTGCTTCTTTCATCTGTAAACAATCAAGGAAAAAAAAACTGTTTGAAAAATAAATTCAGTCAAATTCATAGGAACCACAATGTGAACACCTGCATGGGGCAGCCTGTTGCAGCAGATCAGCTGCTAACAAGAAATCTACCAAGTGTGGGATCAATAAAGTTCAAATTAGTATTATTAATATAATTTTCCAGACATGTTGCAATTTGATAATTTTTCCAAATTATATTGTTCTAGGTAATACAATATTATGCTTTTTTTAATAGTAAAAGGGGCAGAAATGCAGTGCCCCCCTTACAAATTATTTGTTTGACACTAAACAACTTAGGTGTCCTAATGCCAAAAATAACAAAAACTTGCAGCTGTTTAGCTAAATGGCAGCAGCATATATAAAAATAAATTCTAGACAGACACATGAAAACATGCTACAACGAGAAGACTGCCAAATGTAAATGAGGATGTTTTGTGAATTCAAGTGTCATCCCGCAGTCAATTGCACCAACTACGGCTAATTTAGCCTAAAGCTAATCTTGCGCTCCATTCGGTTCTGCAGTGACAACAGAAACTAGCGACGATGGCAGAACAATAAAAGCTTTAGTTTGGCACAAATAAAAGTCACATGTTCCACTGGCAACGCTGGTGTTAGTTTAAGTAATCGCCTGCTGGCTAACAAATTCGACCATTGTACCGACACAAGGTGTGGTTTAGCTTTTGAATGCTAGAACTTGCAGGCTAACTCCAGCCGCCTAACAAGGGAGACAGTGGAGCAGGCGGCCTGTCGCTCACATTACCACACAAACGAATTCAAAAAACGCCGGCACTCTCCACAAAAAAGGCTTTCGTTTACCTATTATTGTTAATTCAAGAGAAAACAGAGGAGAAAATAAGACATTTAAAGCTCATTACTGACCTGTAAACTAACAGCAGACACATGCGAGGAGCAAGATGGAAGCGAGAGAGGAAGAAGGAAGTGACGTACGGCTAAATGTGCGAGCTCGCCGATGAGTCTCTTTGCCCCGAGTTTAGCTTTGCAGGCATAATTTAGCCTTACTAGTACATTTCTACCTGAAATTGCAGTTTATAATTTAAATGAAACCGTTCTATATTTTGTCCTTCTTTCTTTTTTGAATGAAAGCAATATGCTTTTAATTAAAACCCAAAGAGCCCGCATTGAGTTCATAAGGGTACTCCCTAAGGAGGCTCACAAATGTCTGTATTTTCTCCCAAGTGCTTGTATTGGGCTAGTGAATGAATTTAACTAGAACGTGTAAACTTTTGTTGTGTTTGTTTAGAAATGTCTGGGGACAATGCAGTTAGACATAGTAAACATAAAGTGCACCTAATGTTCTCATAATTTGTAGCAATTCATACTTCAAAAGTCCATTCCCTTGCTGGGCTTTTCAAAAATAAGAAACATACAGTGCAAACAACAACATAAGCAACTACAAACAATGATATAAAAACAATTAAAATGTCCTTTACAATGTTAAGAATGCACATGCAAAACCCTGATCAACACTTTAACATTACAAAATCTTTTTCAGCCAGTGTTTGACCTATATTATTTCACTTTTGATTTGTTTTTTACTATTTTCTTTTTACTATTTGTGACTATATATTTTTTAAATGCCATTTGGATCAATAGACTTCTATTCAGATTTAGATTACAGTGTTTTTTACATAAAAGTTAACTGCATTATTATTGAATTACAAAGTACATTTTGTGACTCAATTTCCCTCAAGTCATTAGTCTATCTAAGAACGTAAAAGATCATAACGTTGATTTCTGTTCACATTATAACATAAATTAATTTATACAAATGGAACAAACTAACTGAAGTTTTGCTATTGAATCTTGCAACTGTGACTGGATTAATGATGAGAGCCTTATCAGATTTGCTATTTCTTTTTAAGATTTGAACTTTATCAGTGCTTTTTATGGCATTCATACTCTCTGAATGACAGATAGATCACCTTATCATAAATACCAAAATAAGGTTTTTGGGCTTCTACTAAATTGTAAAGTTGACCGTCATAAATGTGGTATCAACTATTATTATTATTATTATTATTATTATTACTATCCCGTGAATAATTGTATTCTATTAAAATCGACACTACTACTACTACTAATAATAATAATAATAATAATAACAATAATGTCCCATTCTACACAAACAGCTAATTTTTCAATGAAACACAACAGTAACCGTGAGACTGTGAGAAATCCACCACCAGGTGGCGATCTTCAAATGGGAACTGTTCTGATGTAGCTGCAGGGCCACACAGACAGCTGTAGTCTGTATGACAGACGGTAGTTATTTATTAACGTACATTATTAAATTACACGCTATTAAATTATAATTGTAACCAAACTGCAATTGTTTATTTTTTTAGAGTTTGTTTTATGACTCACAAGTGTAACGAAAATTAGTGTTGATGTAATTATAAAGTACATTTATAAGTAATAGAAATTATAAAATAATAATAATAATAATAACGAAGGTAACACTGACGGCTGTATTTAAATTATTTTGTTGTCATTTGTTTCTTACGAACAAAGAGAGGAACCGTTTTTGTGTGTCCGGTATTAAGCGGTCACTTCAGACAAGAAAAAAATCAAAAAGAAAATGATCATCTTTATAGTTACGTTTTTTCTCACATCAATCCTTGACGAATGATAACCTCTATTGATTAACATTTAAATTAATCAGAAAATATGTATCTTATTTTTCTTAATTTTATGATATTTCGCAAATGGTATTATTCAACACAAATATTGTATTTATTTATTTTCGTTTAAAAATTAGTTAATAGTGTAATAATAATAATAAGAAAAAGAAAAAGAAAAAGAAAAAGAAAAAGAAGAAGAGGAAGAAGAAGAAGAAGAAGAAGAAGAAGAAGAAGAAGAAGAAGAAGAAGAAGAAGAAGAAGAAGAAGAAGAAGAAGAAGAAGAAGAAGAAGAAGAAGAAGAAGAAGAAGAAGAAGAAGAAGAAGAAGAAGAAGAAGAAGAAGAAGAATGTAGCGGTGTTAGCTCTCACTAACTGCAGCGGGACGACGCTGCTTCAGACTCACGGCAGACAGGACTGATATCTGGGGCTCGCAT